CCTTTGCAGAGCTGGGGTAGGGGTGGCCTGCGTGTGACACATCTGCCCCGCAGGCCACCAGTTTGACACCCCAGACCTAGGGGATAAAGCTAGAGTAAAGGGGGAGGTGGTAGGATCTCAGTTGTGGGGAAAGTTCTACATGGGGAAGATCAGAAAATCTTTTTGCTTTGAAAGGACACTCCCCTAATCCTTGGTGCACATAGTGCAAACATATTTTCTCCCTTGAACATTGATACTCTACTGAGGCCAGGACTCCATCCTATTAACATTCCTGTCCCAGATGAAAGCAATAGATATATAAGGTCTGGGAGCAGAAAAGCCAGTGTGTGTGTTTGGTCTGCTTTGCAAAATAGAAACTCCGGATTGGGAGAGGGATTCTTACAGATTATTAAGAGAATTTCATTCCTTTGTAAAATACCTGGATCAGCATTGTGGCCCCTTGTCTGTTTCTGCAACCTTGAACCACTAAGGAAGAATGAAGCTGACATTCTAGAGTCATGTCTGTTCTTCTTCAATGTACACAATGTTCTTTTTCATGAACAACCATTACCTAAATCTTTTTGAGTTGGAGGATGATACAAAGAGCCTGCAAAACAATTTGATTTCTATTCTATCAGTATCGTTACTTGTTTTTTTTAAAAAAACCTCTCAGCATGGGCTACAGGAAGTAACTTTCTCAAATTTAGATCATTCAGATAGACTTGATTACAACTAATGTCATTGTCAGCACTATAAGGCAGACCAGACCAGAAACAAGTGCCATACTGGTCTAAAACTACTTGTATTAATACATCTAGCAAGTTTAAATTTCCATCTTCTCATATTTTCTCTTTGTGCAAATTAGGAAGGTGAGGTGTTTTCTGACATTTGTTTCTTGGTATGGGCTCAAAATGTATTTGTCTAATCATTCCCTCAGAAACAGTTCTTCCCACTGTCCTTCAAGACATTTTCTATTCTCTGTATAATTATCCCCCGTCAACAAGATGTGTTGTCATTGAGGGGCAAAGGACATAAGATGGTGAAAAGATCACTCTGGTGGAAAGCTCACTTGGAGAACAACTTTGACGTTCACCTCTCTTCTGTTGGATGGTGTCTGCTGATTTGGCAGTGAACAGTATTTCTGTGCTCTTCCTACCTTGAGATTCTTAGGACTTTGCACTGACCAATCGTCTTGTTCTCCCAAAATGGTTTTCTTAATGGATTTGGAAGCATGTGGGGAATTCTCTGCAGGGGAGCAAATTGCACAATGACCTTGTTAATTTCATCTGAATCTGAAAGTGGACTGGAGGGGGTGAATTCCAGGCCTGCATTCTTTTCATTTCAGGCTCAGTTTAACAGCTACCAGTAGGTTAAAAGTAGATGATTTTGTCAAGGCATTTAAAAGGAATTAGCATTAACCAAATGGAAATAGAAGAAAATATTACAGCATTTGGGGACAATTTCAGAAGCATAAATGAGCACAAGAAGACTGGCCTAGAGAGAGGAAATAATTCATTTCTTCACAGTTCATAAATTGGTCAGAATACAGAGTACAGAATAACAGAGTTGGAAGGGACCTTAGAAGGGACTCCCTGCTCAAGCAAATGACCCTATACCATTCTGGATAAATAACTGTCCAATCTCTTCTTAAAAGCTTCAGTGATGGAACACCCACAACTCCTGGAAGCAAGCTGATTAATTTTTCTCACTGTCAGGAAACTTCTTCTTAGTTTTGGGTTGGATCCCTCCTTGACAAATTTCTACCCATTACTTCTTGTCCTGCCTTCAGGTGCTTTGGAAAATAGATTGACTTCCTCTTTTCTGTGACAGCCCCTCAAATATTTGAAGACTGCTATCATGTCTACTCTTTTTCTTCATTGAACATCCCAGTTCTTGTGACTATTCCTTGAATAGTGTAGCCTCAAGTTCTCTAATCACCTTTGTTGCTCATATCAGCATTTTAAAAAGTCTGGCTAGTCTTGGCTTTTATTACGCTTAAGATACAACATCCCCTCCCCCGCCTTAAAAAAACAACAATACCACAGAAGCAAATGTGGAAATCACATCCTTCTAAAGGGCTAAATGTTGACCTTCACAGACTGTTACAAACTCATTCTCATTCTCCTATAACTTGCCAAATGTATGACCTGCAGACTTAATAGGTAGCCATGTAATCATTCTTAATCTGAATCGAGTCATTCTGTTGCCCTGGGAGATGGCAAAGATGGCGTTGTCTCTCCTCAGAAGTTGACTCCTATTTCAAGGTAGTGCTGAAATCATTTCTCGATCAGTTGGCCACTTTAGGGTTGTAAGACAGGCTTCATGGCACATGTATCACAGCAGCATACAATCATACATTCCAACAATACAACAGAGGGCTGCTCTCTAAGGGTATTTCCTCATTCTGATTAGCAGCAGAGTTGATTCTGGTTTGGATTCCCACTGACAAATATTTGGATCATGAAGCAGAATAGATTTTGATGCAGGATTTATTATACACCTTTGCCTCATTTCTATGCACTAGTGCACAAATGAAACACTCCAGAAAAATCAAATCTTTGCATAATTAGGATCAAGAATTACCAGGAAAATGCAGCAATTGTTGGAGTCATTAAAATCAGATGGAATCTGATAGTTCCTTTTCTCCAACTAAGAAATGTTATTGAAATGAGCTATAGCTCATTATATCAAAATATCTAAAATGCTGGAGTTGTGTGGATGCATGTATTTGTGTGAGAGTGGGAGACAGAGAAAATGAATATATGTGGTAAATGTCAACAGATATCTCAAATTATAATAATTATTGCATGTGGAATATTGCAAAGTATTATTCCATTAGTTTGATGTTCCCAAGTTGACTTGACAAGAATATTATGTGTTATTGTGAAATATTCCAAACATAAATGTGAGAAAATCTAGGAAAGACGACTATGGAGCAGAGCTGTCAAACTTCTGGCCCATGGGCCAGATGCATCACACACTGGCCACACCCATGCCCGGTTTGGTGAAGGGGGAAAAAGTCCCAATACGTCACATGATGACACGAGTTTGACACCCCTGCTATAGAGAATAAAATGAAATCCATGCTGTATATGATTAAGAAATGATGTTTTGCAATTGGAAAAAGCTAGGGAGGATAATTAATTGTAATTGTGGCTTCCCTCCCTCATATAAATACTTGGGAATGTGAAGACACAGCATCTAATTTGACGAAGAGGGCCAAACAAATGGCTATACCAATATCTCTTGTATTTATTTTTGCAGATATGGGATTGATTTTATTTCAGAGTTCCACATAGTGGGTTCATGAGTTTCCATAAATCAGCACTTCAGATGTTACTGAAAAAAGTTGAGGATTATTTCATTTGTTGTTGTTGTTGTTGTGGAGCAGTTATTCAGAGACCATTACTTATGGTTTAGAACAGGGTTACCACTATCTTTTCCATGCTTCTCCTCCAAGCAGTTTGTTAAAAATGTATTATTCTTTTCTGTGATATTACTAATAAATCTTTTCCTTGGTAGCTCAAGTGGCAAAGTTTAGTTAAAGTTGTAATTTGGAGAAAAAGCAGTATGGTTCTGCTTTTTGTTGTTGTTGCTGTTTTAGCCTGACATAGAATATATGCCTCCCCAGTTTGGGGAGTGAGCAATGAGGTGACAGAAGCTCTCAAAAGTTAAATTAGTAAACATTAAAATGGCAGGTGGAATACTTTAGTGTTGGAACACTTTGGTTTACAGTATTTATATGGCATTTTAGAAAAAGTTCATGTTACATTTTAAAAAATTCCTCTTGTGAATTGCCTAAATAAAAGTTTATAACGCAACCAGTTGGCATGCCATTCAATACCTGTGGTTGCTGTACCTCAGATTATAAAATACTGTAATTCTGGAGAAAGTTCAGAAGAGTGCTTGAAAATATTATGGAGCTTGAATGCCTTTATGTCAAAAGGTTATGTATGGTATTTGCATCTTTCTAGTTTAGTAAACAAAGAGACACCTGACAGAAACGTGGAGAGTTGTGTTTGTTGAAAGCGAAGTGGATAAAGCCAGGTTTTCCCCTCATTTTCATGTCAGCCCTGGATTCATCTAATGAAGCTGACAGAGAACAAAGGTTGCATTTCATTTTCTAAATGCAGTTACAATAGTGGTATTAACTTCCTTTATATGCAGTAAGTCACCAGCCTGAACAGCTTCAAAAAGAGAGCAGGTAAGTTTATGATGAGACCGTATCAAAGATAAGATGCCTCTTTTTACACTTTTCAGGGAAATCAGATTGGCACCATGTGGAAAATAAACTGTAGATGGGCCTTTGGTATGATCAGCAGGACTGTTATCTCTGGTTTTAATATCTCAGGGAAAGCCAAGGGAAATCATCAAAACCATAAAAAAGCAAAAGTTAGAATCTTTTGGACATGTGATGCCACACCCAGAAAAATATGCTATATTTCACTTAATCCTCCAAGGAAAGATTGAAGGCAAATGAGGTCCAGGTAGAAGAACATAATGGCTTCAAAATCTAAGGGATTGGTTTGGACAAAATTCAACAGTACTTTTGTGTGTGGCTGTTGATAAAAATAGGATTGCCACCATGATCCAACATCTGATGACAGATATGGCACAAAAGAAGCAGCACTTAGCAATAGCATTTAGATTTATATACTGCTTCACAGTACTTTACAGCCCTTTCTGTGGTTTACAGAGTCAGCATATTGCTCCCCAAGAATCTGGGTCCTCATTTTACCCACCTCAGAAGGACGGAAGGCTGAGTCAGTCATAAGAGCATGAGAATTCAAGAGGAGGGGGGTTGTACTATAATATTCTATTTGCTATCTCTCCTCTTTGGATCCTGCCCTCCCCTTCAGAGACAGGGAGTCTAAAATGACTGGCCTGGGCCAGTAATGTCAACATCAACACACAATTCTTATTATTTATTTATTATTATTTCTTGCATAAGCATTGCATCAATTTATGCGCAGACAAAAAATTCTGGTCCCACTTTTCTGGAAATTTATCTTCTTCGGAAGGAAAAAAAATACTTTATAACATAGTACTTTGAAGGTTAACCCAGAAAATACATGGCAAGATACTGCATCTGGTACTTAGAATCCAGATGCTACAATATGGACATGTTTTGCAGATTGCCTTCTTCTGATTATGAATGCACTATATTGCCTTTTTTTTTTTTTAAGAATACCTTCTTTATTTTTATTTTTAAAAATTCTGTCAAGTTCATATTGGTCAAAAAGACAGTATATTTTTTGAAAAAACAAAACACACACACACACAAAAGCAACGATTCACTACTTTGACAACAGAACCAGATTTATCTTTCCACAAAAATCCAGAAATAATTAGAAGATAAAGACATTTGTTTTCCTGTTTTTCCAGTGTCATTTAGCAAACATATTGGTTTTTTGTAACCCAGATATAGAAGGCACAGGCATCTGGAGAAAATATGACTGGATTCCTAAAACAGGTTAATTTTAGGACACCCCAGAATGAGGCTTTCTGCCCTTTCCTTCCTTCCAGTAACTTTCAGGAGGGTCACTTGAACTACAAAGAGACCCTTTGGGACATGTGGAGAACATCAGGAAGTTCAAAGAAAGGTATCTTCCTATGTTAAGTAAACATCTTTTGGGTTTCAAGTCATAGCCTAACATTTTTCCAAAGGCAACTATACTGTATTTTGGAAGGACTTGATGCTCACTTTAAAAACTTGCTATGCCTTACTATTCACAAACATCTGTTTCCCCATTAAACAATTTTCATCTGGCCCTCATTACCTCAACCTTTTAGACTGCATATTCTAGTTCAGACCTAGCTAGTTATAAACGGACACATTTCTGGAAACACAAGTGCCTATTTGAAAGCTACAGGAAAATTTACTTTACAACAGAGTTGGGTTACAGCAATTATATTTTGCATTCTTTTTTGGCAGGAGCGAAATATGCACCATATTTTAGTCACTTTTTAAATCAAGTTCAAGTGTCCTTCTAGTATTCTAAAAAGTAAAACAAAATAGAAATGAGAATAGAAAATTTAGAACTTTTCTGTGCCTTTACTATTTTCAGATTTTACCAGAACATCTAACTTCTAACAAGTCAGTATTTCCTGCATGATTCCCTCCATATCTGTTGGGCCTTCACTTCTATTTATCTCAGGCAGCATGCCTATATCGATTGAAGATTATGGGAATTGTAGTCTAACAGAAGGAAGCCCATGGGGGTGGGGATGTTCTAAATTTTATCAACTATTTTGCTGCTTAACTGAATCTTTTTAGTGAGCCCAGTTTTCTCTGCCTTTTCAATCCAAGTATATTGGGATAATTGGAATTCTAAATAATACTAAATAATGCAGATACCCTCCAATGAACCAGAACTTTAGTGTACCTTTCCAAGTACCTTGTTTTAATCTTTTTCCCTTCAGAGGCATTTTTAACACATTCTCTTCTTTGTGCAATTAAAGAAACACAGTGCAAATAAAATCATCACTCCAGTCACTAAGATTAGAGATGATAATCAGGGTCTGTTTGGAGAGATCAAAGCTGTTCGGGAGAATCTGATGGAATGAGTTACCCATGATTCCAGTTCAGTATTTCTTTGTTGATGGTGTTGGGAGAAGAAAAAGGGCATCCCTTTTAATCCATTACTCTATACAGAACAGATGCTTTCTCATTCTCTCCCACCCTGACCCCCCCCCCCCCCAGTACTCCAGGCCCATCACACTTTTACTCCCCCCCCCCCAGCCAATGCCCTTCTATCAACATGTTTTTTCTCTCTCTCCAAACACACAGCCATACCCTGTTGTACCATTTTACAGGCAATGTTAAGAATGTAAATGCTCTTTTACATTCTCAAAGAAACAAGGAATATGTAAAAATAAATAGCCTCCCAGCCCTGTCAGGGTGAAGACAAAGACTCTGCTTCTTTAGTTCTTTATCCATCTGAATGGGAAGTGCAAATTGTTTGGAGAATGCCAGAATCTGGGCTGTAAAACATGTTTGCCACTATTAGCAAACGTGTGTCACTGGTCCTTGTTGGCAATGAGTGCATCAGCTTAGTTTCATGCTGATAGTCACAGCCCGTTTGTAGACTTCGGTAACATTATCACAGTCTGCCAGAGAGAAACAACTGTCTGCAAGGGGTTTTTGGCACTGAGTCACTGTCCAGCGTCGGAGTCGGCGACCCTTGGTTTCCACATCTCCCTCCTCCAGCTGCAAGAGGTCATCTGCAGAGACAGAGCCACGCATGGAGACCCCTCCACTTCCTGGCATTCGATCAGGCAAATCAAGCTGGTCAAAGGACTCCGTGGAAAGGATGCTGTCCTCACTCACAGCGCTGGATGGGCAAATGCGAGAGGCGAAGGGCAGCTTGGGCAAGATCACCTCAGGGAACGTTGGGAGGACTTTGTCGGGCACACCGTCAGACTCGGTGCTGCTGGAGGAATACTTGCCATTATGTTTCAAAATACCTTTCCGCCTGGCCTGATTATCACTGGAGTTGTGAGTGGAGGAGGGTGTGCCCACAAAGACACTGGCATTAAGGTCTATGTTTTCAGAGTCTAAAACATCTGCAAATTCACTACGCTCTGAAGATGAGTAATAACCAGACTCTCTTTTTGGTGGCTTTTTCAGAATTCCTTTCTTGGGCACTGGTAGGACAGCTACTACATCCTCTGTATGGCAGGCCAAGGATCTGGAGGATAGGACACAAGCTAACTCAACTGTAGGTCTAGTATTGTCTTCTTTTTGTGTATCAAGAGGAGCTACCACAGTTGAAGAAGGACCCTGGGACTTCTCACAAGAGTTTCTCTTTTTCAATATGCCTTTAGGTCTCTTTAGGATTGATTTGGATTGGTTCTCTGGTGCCAGGCCTGTTTCTTGCACAGCATGAGACACGTCATTCTCCTTTTTTGACTTCTTGAGTGAACGCTGCTTCTCCAACGTGACACCAGGGATGTGCTGTTTAAAAAAGCAGCGCATCTTGGACCCATTTTCAAACAGAGGCCTGGAGGAGCGACGAAGCCAATCTGCAACAGTAGCCAATGGAGATTCATCCTCTCGCAAAGACTCCTGTTCCCCAACTGGCACTTTGTAACCCCAGTTGATCCACCAATGGCTGGCTATGTCCTCAATGGTAGCTCGGCGTTCTGGATTCACCATTAGCATCCACCGGATCAAGCCACAGGCATCTACAAATCAAAGAAATCATATGAGATGTACAGAGAAGGGACATGCTTCATTTCACAGAACTCTTTTCAAATTTTAATACAAGAAGATCCTATTTCAGCTAGTGACCTAGATCTGATATCCATCAGAAACTCCAAAACTGCAAATATAAGAATATATTTTTATAGACCTCACATTCCCAGAAAGGGGTAATTTAGGACATCAAGTCTAGCTTCTTCTCAGTCAACAATTCGAAGTAAAGCCTCCCATATGAAGGGCTATCCAGCCCAAGCCTTCCTTAAAACAGTTTTACTGTTAACTATGAAATATTTTTCCTAGAAGAAATGGCAAATCGAAAATTGCTCTGAGTTAAAGCAGAGCTGGTGATTATGGTGAAATGATATATTTTCAAAAGAAGCTTGCTAAAGCTTGGAAGAATTTTGTTAGAAGGAACAATAAAAATGGAAACAAATCAAGTTCTAGAATATAATTTGAAGGTGCTAAAAATCAAGATTATTAAAAGGAAGGAATATAATGTTGGTGTCAGGATTCCGGCAGAAAACATTGTCTATACACGTTTTATAGTTGTCAGTTGGTTTGTTTGATCAAGGTTAAAATAGGTATGTTATCTCTGGTATCCTTCAATCAACTTTTGCTGATCACAACTAAATGGTGAAGTTTTAATGACTTGTTTCTAGATAAGAGATAGGACATAAAATCATTTTTGTAGTTTAAGAAAAAGTGATAATCAGTTTGCCCAATTGTTAATTATAAGTAAAAAAAAGAATTCAAAGATTTTTGTTTAAGAACTCTCCCCTTATTCATCAAAATAAAACTTAGATATTAAAGCCTTTGTTAAGAGAAACTCAAACTCTGAATGTTATATAAGCCTATATATAGAATTACAGTTCAGAAATATCTGTTTCTCAAATATGAGATTATTTTTTAGCCTAATGCCTATTCCTACTACTTAATTTGCCATAACATTGCCAGTTCTATGGAAGTAATTACACCTGATTTCCAATGGAAAGCATAAAATATCCTGGTAGTTGTTATCTTATATAAAGCCAACTTGATATATTTTGTGCGACTATATGGTTTGCTAATGTTTAACAAAGAAATAAATGATTGGAAAGTGATTTCAATTTTTACATTTTTTTCAGTGTACATAAAATCAGCTTCCAGGTTTTTATAATGTTGGCATCTAATATGAAACTGTCTGACCTAATTATTGCATTTACAATAATTTTTGGAAAATAAATTAACATTTCAGCAATCAATACTACATCATCAATATAATATCTTGTGCTAATTTTCACTAACTCTAATATTGTTGGTGAATTTAGTATTTATTTGTCACTGTGATCTCCTTAGCAGCATGTCAGTTGTTCTATTTAAATTCTGTACCCATTCAATCATACTGTATTTCACCAGAAGTTTGCAAATAAGTCCCAACAAATGTTTTGAGTTTTGTGTTTTCAAATCCAGTCAAGTCTGTGAGTATTCCATTTTGTAATTCCTCTAGATTATTATTTATGCAAAGCATCTGAAGAGCTACCCTTCCACAGAAGCAATCCAGCCATAAAATGACATAAACTAATCTGTAATGACATAAACTAATCTGTAAATTAAGCAGCTGGCTTGAAATGCAGTACGGCCAATCTATTTCCTGCTTTTATTACACTTAATCCTTGGCCTTTTTGAATTATAAAGCTTGGTCTTCCCCTATTTTAATATCTTGTTTTCAGTTCTTCCTGGAATCACATGAAATAGAAATGTAAGCCTTGGGAAAAATACTAATTTTTATTACTGCAATAAAAACAGTACTCAAAGCGGTGTGTGATTAATAAAAATAGAGTGGAATTATTCCCTAGGCAGAAAACCCCTCATCCGGTTTCAACTTACCTGAAAGTTTGGTGGGCTCTTTGTAATCTCCTCTTGTAATCTGTTTTACCAGTGTCTTGTAATCATGGCTATCAAATGGCATTGTGCCATGGATCAAAATATAGAGAAGAACACCAAGAGACCAGCTGTCAACCTGCAGATATAAAACCCAACTGTTAACTTGCAATCAGTCTACCCAAGGAATAAAACTCTTCTTTGATCTTTATGTTGGCAATTGCTATTACCATCAGGAAGTGCAAATAAGAACATCTTGCCCCGATCATTGCCAATAAAACAACAATGTCATTCTGTCCGAGTGTACCTTGTCTGTAAACTGCACAGTAGTTTCTGGCCATCAGTTTGCTCTTAACCACCCAATGGGTTTATTAAATGTCATATGCATGACCAGGTGCATAATCTTGCAACAATATTAAGTATTCAGTGGGAAAAGCCAGGAATTTCTGCTATGTGTTTTGCAGCCTGAATAGTATTAATAGTCCAAATACTTCTCCAGTATTGGGGAAATTTTATTTTATCCGTTCCCTTACCTCAGGTCCTTTGTAAGGCCTTCCGTTAACTATCTCAGGAGATGCATAGAGGGGACTGCCACAGAAGGTTTGAAGAAGCCTATCTTGTTGGAAAACATTGGAAAGGCCAAAATCTGCAATCTATAATGAGGAACAATAATTTCAGATTGATGCTGTTTAATACTATCGGAAAACAAATAGAAAAGACTTCCTTTAGAACAAGTTTTACTTTCCAACCCCAAATCAACTAGAATTGTATTTTTACAGAAAGCCTTTTAGTTCCTGCATTGTCCACATAAACAAGCAATCTGGCCCTAGATTTAGAGTTGTCAGATCATCCAGATAGTACTGCATATATATTCAAAGTTTGCAAATTTGACAACAGCTTATTGTTTATGTAATATAAATTGGGGCCTAGGCCCAGCAACATGTTAAAGGAGAAGGATCAAAATGATCAAGATGGCAACCACAGAATCACAATGGAAACCCTACTGTTATGTGTGTGTAATGTTGACATAATCTGGTGCCCTCAATCTGTGCTTAATTACAAATCCTTTATACCCAACGTCCCACTTGCCATCTTGGTTAATTGTGATAAGATAATGAATTATTCTCAGATACACAACTGAATCTTTTGTCTAAAAAATGTTTCAAAGTCTCTTTCGCTGCCCCACAAATGTCTTCCTTTTCTTTTTCTTAAACAAACCACATCTTTTTGTGTTCGATTTCACCAAGAGTCACCTTGTACTTTAATCTTCATTATCAATCTGCTTGTTTAGCAGAACAGAAGATAAGCTAAACTTCTTGGCGACTAGTTTTTAATCTTTTTCTTGTTTAAAGGAGCCAAGTAATCCACGCACAAATAATCAAAATCAAGGGTTTGGATAACAGCATCTTTTGAGTTTTTTGAAGGTATTAAAAAAGGCAGGACTCATATTTCCCTTCTGAAACTCTGAAATCTATTAGATGTTAGTGGGTAAAGTGGAGCCATCAATGCCTGAAGCTTGAAGGCACAGAATGTAGTAACCCTGCTAAAAGTAACCAATTTTAAAGCTGACTGCTTGTGAATCTTAGTCTGCAATGATGTTGTGCAATCTCTAAGATTATTTAGAACATTTTCACACTGGAAGGCTTAACATGCCAGCATCTCCACTAAAATCCATCCTGACAATATAAATGTCTGCATTTGTGGAGGAGGATTGAGAAGTGGGGAATTCATCACATACTATCCAAACATTTCAAAATTGCTATTTTAAATGGACCTTCATCGTATTTTAAATTCTTCATTTGAGAAGTACTCAAATGAAATTTCATGCCAATTCCAACTTACCTTAATGTTTCCGTTTGCATCCAAAAGAATATTTTCTAACTTCAGATCTCTATGAACAATTCCATTCTGTTAGGGAAAAAAAACAGAAGTCTGATTATTATTTTTCCTGTTAGAAGACGAAACAAAAGAAGGCTACCTCAGTTCATCCCATCTAACTGTGTGTCATATATTAGTATTTTGCTTAAATATTTATTTTTCTATGAAGCAAAACACTAAGCCACCAAATAGAGGCACAGATGTAAGTGAAACAGACACGTCGTATGCATACTAAGTATAGGCAGAGTAATAATATGGAATTCCTGCAGTCTTACCAGCGCAACCCATACATGAGAACTAAAGCCCCAGAAGCCTCCTGCTAAGAACTGTTTTGTACCACTTAATAAAAATGCTTGCATTCAAATCTATGGTTTTCTATGCAATAAATATGTGTTGAATGTGCAGTTGTGTGGGAATAGTAGTAGTAGTAGTAGAATCTCTTGCACAATTGTTACTAGGTAACACAGATGAAATCACAAGGAAGGAAAACCCTCCCTATAATGCCTGCAGGATGTTTTGGTGACATATTTCCTTTTGCTACTGAGAATTCCCCTAATAGGGTGATGTGGCAAAATGCAGATTTCCTAACTAGTACATTTCTTTGCAAAGAGCAAGTTGTTATCAGTTTCTGTATCCTAAGACAATAGAATTTGTTGCAAAGGAATGCAGTATGATCCCACCAACTGTCCACGCTCATCTATAGCCCTTAACATGCCTAACCCCCAGCATTACTTCCTGAGTTACTTCCATTCCCCCGCCCCCTCTTCCAAGAAAAAAGCTTTCAAAATAAGACCAGTAAACGTCTGGAATTCCAGACTGACCAGCTGTATTTGAAGCAGGTTGTCCAAATTATACCTTAGTCTGTTACATTAAGCTTTCCCCTTGACTTTCAAGTGCCATTAGCTTTGAATACAAATGAATGGAAGCAGGTGCTTTCCAATATAACAAGTGACTTATTTTTGGCATGTAATTTGAAAGCTCTGGGCAAATTAAGGTGATTGTTGCAAGGTTACTCTTTTTAAGGAAGTTTGCTCATGCTCCATTACCTTGAAGAGAGCTCGATCTCAATGATGAAAAAGTTTGTTATCTGTTCTCTTTCTCATTAAACACCCAAACAAAATAGGAAGTGCGGGGAGGTAGTGTTTGCTATATTTCCTTTATAGAACAGCACAATATAGGTTTCCCCAGTGCTCTTCGGTAAGTAAATGAAAAACTAAGATTTACATAATCAAGTTTTTAATCCACTATAATGTCATGCCAATAAGACTTTCCTGACGGTAAACCTGAAATTCATACTACTCTAATTATCCTTATTGGGAACGTCTACTGCTTTAAGTAGTACCCAAAATCCAGCAGCCCAAAATCACCCAGCCTAATCATTTTGACTTGCTAGCATAGTTTTTCACAGTAGATGTGTGTTTCCTAATGCAGCTTCTCACAGTTGCATCCCTAGGACCAGATGGGATATTTCAGCTAACACCACAATCAACTAGTTAGTGCAGATGTTGTATGTAACAGGAATTTTAATACACAATCCTTTCCCCCGCACCACACACTTTGAGGAAGACGTTCACCTTCTAATGTTTACATCTTCCATAATGGAAGGAGAAAACTCATCCTCCTATGAAAGCTAGGAATGAGGAAAAAAGTTCAGTTACGTTGCCTATATATATAAAAAGCTAAGGACACCAGCCAACAACGTTATTAATTAGTCTGCATGGATGTGTTCCATATCAAACTAACATACCATTACACTGCTATAAGGGAAAACTGAAAGAAAAAACCTATTGTACTTTTGATAGATTGTAGGAAACTCATGCATCCCCATTGTGATAATATTTAAATAGGGTAATTGTGTTTCAGCTTTCAACCATCTTAAATAACTAGATGTAAAACATGGATATGAAAACATAAATTGAAATATTTTGGTTTTTTTTTTCATTTTCACTAACCTTATGACAATAATAGATTGCCGACACCACTTGCCTGAAGAAGTGCCGAGCTTCCTGCTCCGTCAATCTCTGGCGTTCACTAATGTAATCATACAGATCTCCTTTGCTGGCATATTCCATCACAATGACAATCTTGCTACTATTTTCAAATACTATACAAACAAGAACAGAGAAAAGGTTAGGAATGACTGTAAAGAAGAATTCTATATATCTTAATGCCAAATTATTCTAATAATAAACCTGTCACTTTAGTTCCTGTCCTGACCTGCAAATTTGTATATTTGTGCAAATGTATGGCCAAATAGTTTAACACTGTTTTAACTGCTGTGGTATGTACTGTAGCAGGTAAATTAGATTTAAGTTTAATGAATTTCCCATTAGGAGCTGTAACTAAAACAAATTTTTAGTTGTGGACTATACCACCTGCCAAAGAATTGCAGGGATCAATACATGGATACAAGCTCTTTTCATCACTGAATATAATAATGGTTTAACTTTAGCCCAGGACCAGATTATTTCTTTTACCAATTCTTTTGTTGCCTTTCTTGATTCTGGATTACAACACTAGCAATAATCAAAAGTTAAGATGGTGTGACCAAGGCTCGCCCAATTTTCATGTCTGACACATGGAATGCAGTTTAAAAAATGAGTGAAGCTTTGATGGCAGAATCATGGCCACCCATCATGATGTTTTTGACCACATCCTCAGTACCCCTGCAATAATCAGAATGGTATTTTTGAAGTGTTAACTTTTTTATTTCTTGTTTAAGAATACAACACTTTAAGATCTTTCACCTAGTCGTGCCTTCATGATATTGTACATAGAACCTAAACAAAGAACAAAGAAGTTACCCAGACTCAAAGTTCTTTATTCTCAGTCTTAAAATCATAACAATCAACTGGTGTTCAGAACATATACAAGTTGTTTTGTACACAAACACACACACCAAAAAGAAAAAGAAAGGAAGAAAAAACAAGGAGAAAATATGAACAGTACTGAAAAGTACAACGGGAAATTTTCAGTGTTGCTGTGTTTCATATATTCAGCTGCATTTCAAGCAGAATTTTATGAACCTCCTCTTGTGTTTAAAGGATGAAGAACAGCATTTATTTATGTGTAAAAACTGTAAACATGGCCAACTCTGCTTGAAGAGAAAATCTTGATATCTCTTTTCCTCTCCATACTATGTAATTGGCCTCCTAATCAAGACTGACCAAACCAGTTTAAACTCTTCCTGGGCATTGCCCTGAGATGTTTTTATACTTTATACTGCCACATTTCCAGCTTGTGCCAATATGCAATAGGAAAAAGAAAAAGAAAAAAGTTCTTTGAACAAGTGTCTCTTTTAGAACTTTCTACCCTCGTAAATGCAAAAGGCCATGGCAGTCTTATTAAGCCACAGATCAGATGAGTCAATCTTTAACACTCTGTTCCAATAAATTATAATCTGCCTCGAAAGTTTGGCAATTGAGCCTATTCAAAGTACAGCATGTATAAATAAATCATTCCACTAAAATATCTTGATTTAGCTACCTGTTCATTTTCTATAAATGCTGCATTAAGCAGTTTTGAAACATAGAGATAAAAACAGTTCCCTGTCCTAAAAACAGCTACAATTTCTAGAATTCTGTTTCCTCCCTTTCTGAAGAGTGATAGGCCTGAAAAAAGTAGATAAACTTAAATTCAATTTAAACAAACAATTCTTACCTTCATGAACAGCAATGATGTGGGGATGATTGAGAGAAGACATGATTTCAATTTCCCTTCGGATATGGAGAAGATCTTGCTCATCCTTGATTTTATCTTTCCGGATGGACTTGATAGCAACCTGGAAATGCAGTTTTCCTCCAATTAACAGCGAAGCAATCTTTCTGAATGTAAAACTTATCAATGCACTTCTTGATTTTTTAAAAAAAATATTAATTTGTATTCCACCTTTATTGTGTACCGCTTCAGGTAGTGCATATTGTAATGCTTTTCCCTCCTATTTTTCCTATAATTCTTTGAGGTAAATTGGGCTGAGAAAGAGTGATTGGCCCAAATTTACTCAGCAGGCTTTCATGCCCAAAGGAAGATTAGAAGTCATGCTCTCTCTGTTTCTAGTCCAGCACTACCCAAAAATTGCTTCTTACTTTGCTTTTATTTTGAGACCTACCATTAAGTTTAAAAACTTAATGTTAGTAGCATTATCCGAATAACTAATTGTGTATTTTAAAATTCATACTCCTGGCCCCTAGACCTAACACCCCCCATTTGGAAACATACATTTTGAGAATTCTATGATTTTAATTTTTTTTAAAAAAATATTTATGTGATTTATCCCTGCCTCAATCTGAAGGTCATCTAGGTCATTTTTTATTGAATTAGTTCAGTGCTTAAAAATTTCTGGGTTTATGTTTTAAGTTTTTTTTTTTTTAAAAAAAAAGGATTAAGAAAAGCAAGAATTTATCTGCTAGCCACAAAGATGTCAGCACACTGGCACTTAAAACATTTTGGCTATAGATCTTCTTAAGAAAAGGACTTTTCATTTTTAAATTAAACACCTTTTGTTTTTCTTTAAACAAAATATCTGCTTGGTTCTTTTCAAAGCAGCAACTTTGCACAGGCTTAATACAGAGCAGGAGTTTGGTGTTTTGGTAGAGTTCTTGTAATAAAACATAGCTAGTGAATAGAAAGTGAGCAGAGCACATGACTCTAAATGTTTTATTTGCTGCAAATGAAAACATTCTGTTATTCTCAGCCATCCATTATGGCTGAAAATAAGTCACTTGGTCAGATTTAAAACAAAAAACAACAGTTTGGCACTGGAATAAGGGCATAAAGTTCCAGGTACTATTTTCTCTTCTGAAGAAATACATTTAAAAAAAAAATGGAACATAGAAGTTCCTCCAACATAGCCAGCTAGTCAAAATGCTGCAAATCTGAAATAGCAGAAGCAAACTTTATAAAAGACTGCTAAGGATTGCTTTATTATGAAAATTCTTTTCCAAGTAAAAGAAGGAGAGGAGAGGGAAAGTGAGCAAGCTAAAGAATAGATGTAGTTAATCCTCTTTCAAAGAGATTGTGAAGACAATGCATGTCTTGGGTTGAATTTTCAACAGAATCCGGCACAACCTCCATATCCTCCCTCAGACAAGAATGCGGAACAGCATTAATCCTGTAAAAAGATCCTGGAAGACACATAATACTAAGTCTCCTGGCAACAAGGAAAGGGAGGCCTAGTCTTGCATCCCAAAGGCAGAAATGTTAGAGCTCTCCTATCTAGCCACAATGAACTCAAATTCCTTCTTTGCTATAAAGGGAGAGAGAGGCAGAGAGCATTCAACTCTTCCCAAAGATGGTGTATTTTAAGGCATACACTCCAGACCTCAGCAACAAAGTCATCTGGACTCCCAACTAGTGGTAGAATGAAGAGATGGTTAACCTGCTAGGTTGAATCTCAACTTGGAATTCTAAAAAGCAAATTCATTTCCCCTTCTTGCTAAAAAAAAAAGAAAAAAAAAGAATAGTTTTATCAGTCACCTGAGATTCAGTTTACGCAGATATAATTTAATTTTGTTTCAATGGGTTACAAGCAAAACAGAGGTATATGACTTTGCCCTAGTACTAATATGAACATTATTCTTCATTTCACGTGAAGCTATTTTCAGAAAATACTAAGCAATCAGGAGATATTCATTTAATACTTACACATTAATGTTAGCCACTTTTCGGGGGTGGGTGGGTGGGGGGTGGAATTTTTGATTCCTTCTTTGGAAGAATGGCTAATTAGATAATAGGAATATTGGTCTGATTTAGGAATAACATGCTACTCTGATAAAGAATTTAATCCTAACTGAAAAATATTGTTGGGTCATAATGTTATATATGGATTTCTGCTGTATCCAAAATTCAGCTTCTGTTACAGATAAAATTATGTCTTTACTGTTTTATAGCTTTTTTACTGATTCGAATTGCTTTAACAGAGTATGTTCACTTGAAAATTCAATAAGGATTGGTATGCTATTTCCCAATATGTTTTATATCTTTTTTTATATGTTTTTCATGTACACTTTCCAGTTTTTTTTAATAAATATAATAAACTAAAAAAGAAGTTGGCCACTTGGCACACGTGCATTGTCACACTGGGATTGTGGCTAAAGCCTTGAACTGTCTGATCCCTCATTGCATCCACACCATTTCCTTCCTCTTTATGATGTGCTGTTGTTTTTTAAAGGGAAGGATATAACTCCAAAATATAAACCAATTATATGAACTCAAGAGACAGATAAATATCTGTCATGAATCATCTCTTGCAACAAAAAGATAAAAGAGGAAAGTAACAGGCCTGCCTGTGCAAGGAATAAACTTTTTTTCTGCAAACTGAGAACCACACCTACTGTGAGTGGTATGCAAGGATCCATACTTTCAAGAACTGAGATGAACATATGAATTAAGTAATATAAATTAATTACATATGAATTAAGTAATATAAAGTCTATAATAATTTAAGAGCATGAGTTTGGGTCTATATCATAATTTATTTTCTTCCTTACATAAAAAATGTAATATTGTACACATTGTGAGGGAGTTCCAAATGTGAGATAGATAGATAGATAGATAATCGATGAACGGACAATCTGCCAGCAAAACATTTGAAAGAACTCGGGTGCTTTGGGGAAAAAAAAATGTGGGCAACTCACAAAAGATAATGAAAAGAGAGAAAAGAAACTGAAGAAAGAGCTTTCTCACTTATAGATTTTGTTTCATTCACATTTGTCAGCCTTTCCCTATCTTTTCTAGATTAAAATGTTCTACCCAATTAATACATCTTAATTAAAAAAATGTTTTAAAAACTACAGGAGCCAATTAGTTTATTTCCCAGGGGAATGGGGCAGGGAGAGACACAAATGGACAACTAATGCAAGGGAAGTCTGGAAATAAATATCCTATAAAGGTTTTGATTCACAACATCAATAAGCACATATGCAATGAACTGTATCATGGTAGTATCTCCAGTGTCAGAGATTCTGAGAATGTGGTCCAAAACATCTTATATAAGCAGCTCTCCTTTCTGTGGTTTATATTGTACAATATAAGTATAAGCTTCTTTCATTAAATGGACTTTGTGCTAGGTTCAAGTTTCAGTCTCCAGTTCTTCCCACTTCACTGCCTCATCATTTGGATAAGTTTCTGGAATGTGCGTCGCTGGTGGGCAAAGCCTTTCCTGGTAAACTAGTAGTTGCCTTCTCTAACCTATAAAAATCCTTGTCCCATCCACTTCTTAAATCTAAGCCCCAACCTCACTCCTAACTGACCAAGAGGTCTGAAATGTTTCTTCAAAGCTAGGCAGAATCGCCCTAGAAGTTTAGAAAGATTGCCTAACGTGGTCAGAGCTGTTAATGCTGAAGTACCACCATTCCTTCATTTTCAGTACATTGTCCAAGATGCATCCCTCAGAGTCTGTTCAGAAAAGAGACACATCTATGAAAACTGCCCAAAATTAAGGGACAAGTACACTTGACTAATGCTCCGTGTCTTATCAGGGCAATCCTAAAAACTACAATATGCAAAGCTAGTTGTTCATATTTATTGCCTATTCTGATATCTTCAACATGTGTTGGGCCACAGCTTTTGTTATCCTGAGCCAACACAGCTATAAGCTGTACTGGTTGCACGTTGTGAGAGCTGTAATTCCACATATAAGAGACAACAGTTTAACAGACTTTTTTTTTTGTACTTGTCCTGCTACAAATTACATAGTAATATATCTTTCCCATGAAATTTCATTGTTACCTACAATATGCTGTTAAGATTCAAATTGTATGCTTTGTCCTTTCCCTGCCCGACATAGGCTCCTTTTAAACTCTAAATTAAACATGTTATTAGAAAAACTTGCAATGTTGAGTGTAAAGCATTGTATAATGTTTGATGATATGCAAGAATAATCAATATTATATATCTTTACTGGTTTTTACTGCATCTACTCCATCTGAATCTAGATGGAGGGTGCAACTATGCACAGGTAGATCTTTGGAAAATGGCTTTAAGACAACCAGCCCCATATTCTAGTTAAAAACTAGACAACTGCAAATTATGATTGCAGCTTTTTTTTTTTTGTTACAATTTGGTCTGAGTGCTCATTTCAAATCTGACTTTAATTATGGTTTTAATAAGAAAGAGATCTTCAAAAGGTAATAAATGTTTGCCAGCTGTGTTAGAATGAGTTCCAAATTCTATACATTGCCTTCTTCCTAACAAATCATGGCTTAAATCTGGTTGTCAAAATCCCCTGTATTTGCTGCTATCCTGGGTTTTGGTGGGGTGGAATGAAGTGGATTAATTTTTTTAGGAAAACCACCCTCCTCTTTCTTTCAACCCCTTGATTGTAAGTACTATATTGTTAATAAAAGTATAGAAATCCAGACCTACAGTTTGATTTGGCAGAGAGCCAAGGATTAAAAGCTACTTTCCCTAGCTTATAGATACAAAATAACAAACTGAAATAGAAGCCAATAGGCTTCACCATAGATGCACTGTCTAACAGAAAAAACAAGACACTCAAATTTCTTTACATAAGCAATTCAGGGTGATTACAATAGTTAATAGTTTTAAAAAGCAATGGAAAGACCACATTCTATGTTGATTTCAAGTCTTGATTCCTACACTGGTTTGGTGAGCATATATTTTTTAAATATATATTTGAAGTCTAACTAGATCTAAGGGACCATTCACTAAAGTTAAATTAACTGAATCAAGATAGAGAATTCTGGGAACGGCAGTTCCCATACGTCCTGATTAGATTTCAGGACTGCCCATCTCCATATCAACTCTGGGGTGGCTGACTATATAAAAAATAAATACAAAAAGATAAAATGTGATGGTGGGACAAATACATCTAATAAGGGGTTCATCTACCCTACCCCAAGATCTGGGAAAACAGACAATTCTTCAAGGCTTTCTGGAATGTCATTATGGTAGGATTTTGCAGGGACAAGATTTCAGGTGCTGTGTCAAAGAATCTACTTTCTGGGTCCTGAAAGATGACACAATTTAATCAAGAAGACCTAGAGAATTCCCAGTCTAATGGCTCTTACCAGTCAGGCAGACACCATTGGAGATTGGAGGTCCTTCAGATAACCTCAGCTCTCCATGTCATGTAGAACTTTACAGGTAATAACCAGCACCTTGAATCACACTCAAAAGCATATTGGCAACCAGTGCAGTTCATGAAGTATGTGTGTCATGCAAGCATGCATAGGCAGGCCCCCACTCCTTGCGTTATTGCATTTTTGACCAGTTGATGCTTCTGAGTGGTCTTCATGGAGAGCACACTGCAACAGTTGAACCCTAAGATGACAATGGTGTGAGTAACTGAAGGGCTGCCTGATCCAGGAGGGGCACAACTGGCTCATCAGATGAAGCTGTACAAAGGCCCTCCTGGCCAGAGCTGCCACGTGTAGGTTGGGGAAAGCTGATCCATACAATAACAAGATGTATCCTCTGAACAGAGGTATCAATTATCATATACACCTTGTTCATCTGAAAGCAGAAGCAACAGTGATATTCAAAGTTATGATTTAAATTAAGATAGGAGATGCATGATTAGATTAGCAGGACTTATACAGTACTGCAATATGAATATTTCCCAAGTTGCTGGCTTTGGAATAGAAAGGTAAAGACTTAGTCAAGTCAAGCTAAGCTTCTGGGGATTACTGAGTACCTCCATCTAGTTTTCTTGGCAACGACACAGAATTGATTTGTCATTGCCTGCTTCAAGAATGTTTGATTTCTCAGATTATATTTATTACATGAAAAAAGAGAGATAAAAGTAGCTTACTAGAATGAAATTAAGTATGTGGATTTAAGTTTGACTAACCTGGGCATGGTGCAAAAAAGAGGTCAAGTTGTACTACCTGCTATTTTTGTTGGTATGCTTATAATATTTATTCTTTCAGGCTAGTATAAACATGTAATCTCTTCTTCCACAGGGAAACAAGATCTGTGACTTCAGTCAGCATGACTCGAACTGTTTCCTTCCCACATCGGCCCAACTTACTAATGCTCCAAGCCAATGGTGCTGCCACGGATAATTTATTTCCAAACTTTAGGCTTTTGTCAATGCTGCTTAAGCAATATATCTTATGTAGGGGTTTATGGAGAGACAAACAATACCATCATGATGAGTTCTTTCAACAAACTACAGTATTCTACTGAATGAAAGCCAAGACATAGGCTTTAGGGCAAATTTACACTGTGCTTACATAACTGCCCAATGCACATTCTTGTAGCAATGCTAATTTACACAGGAAAAACAAGGTTAAAAGGAAGATATCAGAGACCTTTGGATCTTGCTCTTCTGGATACTGTACTTTCCCCACCCCTTAACTTCCAGCCAATAAGACTAGCTTTCAATATTTCAAGTGAGGCAAACATTACACAGGCAGGCAATTCATGCCAAAATCAATGACATTAAAAAGTTGAAGTGTGGGGAAGACATAAACATAGAAGCACAAGATGGCCATCTTTCCCCCCCCCCCCCAATTCTTTTAAAGGGGTAGCACCTACAACTCTGCCAAAGCCACCCACAGAATAACCTCAGTCCACCAAAGGCCACTGGCTCAGGAACAGTTTGCCACTATCATCAAAAAGAAAAGCCAGGGAGGGAGCTTTGCAAGAGCGCTCTAAACTTATCACCCTTGCTCTTAATTGCCCTTAATCCTATCACTCTTCCTCACTAGCTAGAATGATTTAAAAGAGGCATGAGAAGTCTTGCAAGACTGCCTCTCATTTGCATGGGCCTGTCTCGCTGCATGTTAATTCTCATTGTTAAAGTATATTTTGATTTAACACACTATGCCATTTTTGCACTATTTTTTGCACTACTGCATTAATTTAGAATCCAACTCCTTAGCCAAACAAGCTGGGCCACTTACATAACAAATGCTGCAAAGCCCATTGTGATCCAACTTAACAAAAGCTAATGTGTATGTGTGTACATCTTTAAATCAGTGTTGACTCCTAGTGTTTTAAATGTATCTTAAATTTAGCTTTTTTCTTCTTCTTCTGCAAATAGTATAACAATTGGTGTGCAATATAATTAAAATAATGAACCATTATGCAATCCCACTTCTCTCAACGGCTTTGCGATTTTTTTTCTTGCAAGACTGCTAATCTCTCCCCCCCCCCCCATCAGCAAACCCTGCAGGGTGTAGGTTCCTAATTACTTTCACTGTGCAGCAAAACGCCTCCCCTCTCCCAGCCAAAAGCCCTCCGCAGTCAATAGCTTTGCCAGTTGAGCTCCAGCAGCCAGTCAGCCCTGCGCTATTTACCGGGGAAGGGGGAAAAAAGAAGAAGAACGGAAGGAAGAGAGATGAACAACCCTCATTACATCAGCTGCAAGGGATCATCAGCCACGGCTGCGAAACCACAGCATTCTCTATAATGCTAAGGGGGGGGGGGGGGGGGGGGGGGGGGAGATTGCCGTTTCACGGGCTAAACAAGCTGGAGGACCAAAAAGAAAAGAAAAAGCCTGCAGGCTAAAGGTAGAAAGACAGAGAGGGCTTCCCTTCACTTTACAAGTACACACGCAGGGAAACTAATAGCGGGAAAATTCAAAAGACCGCTTGGATCGACGGATTTCCTTCAGGTTATCCATCCCACCCCACCCCACCAAAACCGTAAGAGGGAGACAAGGAAAGGATTTTGACTGGGCTCAGAACGGGAGAAAAAAAATTAAAATGGAAACAGGCGCGATAGCTTATCTTTCTGGTTGCTCTATTGTTTGCTTTTCAATAAACCTGCATCAAGTCGTGCTGAGTTTCTCAGCGCTGCAAACGAGTCGAGCAGCAGCAGCAGCCAACCGTGCAGGCAGGTTCTTGGAACAAAAGGCTAAATCCTCATGCATGTAGGCGCAGGTCGCTCCGGAGTTTCAATTGCCAGCTGCCTCCCCGTCAGGCAGGCACCCCAATAAATAGACTGTGTAGTCCAATAAAGCCGGTCGCCTTCTCTGACCTGGCGCACAGAATAAAGCTAGGCTGGGACTTCACCACCCACCATCCCCTGCCACCACGACGCCCCCCTCCCCGCACGGGGAAGCCGGACCAATAACCCAGCCGAAGAGAGCAGGTTGGAAGGAAAACCCCCGGGCGCTTCTCCTTACCAGCTTGCCGGATCGCTCCCTCGCCTTCTTCACTTTGCCGTAGGTGCCTTTGCCCAACGTCTCCAGGAACTCGTAGCGGTGCCGCAGGTTATGCTTGTGGTAGTGCCGCTTTACCGCTTGCTTTTTCACCGGCGCCTTTGGGAACTGGAATAGCCCATCTTTGAACAAGGAGACCGCCGGAGCCTCGGAGGGCGGGACACGCTCCATTGCCGCCCCCGCCACTCCGCAGAGCCGACGCGCCACTTCAACGACCGCCGGCCGACTAGAATCCTAGAGCCGGCCGGCCAACACAGTGCCAATAAATGCTACAAACCTGCCCGCTTCGGACCCTCCCTCTGGCAGCTATTGGCTACGCGGCCCCACGTGGGCGTCCGTCTGTTTCGCAAGGTGTCGCCGCGCGCGCCTGGCGAGGCGGAGGCGTGGGGGGGGGGGGGGGGGGGGGGGGGGGGGGGGGGGGAGCGGAGGTGGTAAGGCGGTTGGGGGTAGTTTTGCACAGGAGACAATGGGGGCAAAAATTGCATTCTTTTCTAGACCCATCCACATGAGAAAAGGGGGGGGGGAACACCTCTCCCAATGGAATTCAGTGACGCCTATTTCCGGGCACGCATATCATCAGGTATGTTCATGCGGGCAAGACGTAAAAAGAAAGAGGAGAATATGATCAAAGCTGCAGGAAAAGAATAAAAGCCAATTTAAGCATATTTATTTATTTATTTATTTATTTATTTAGTTAGTTAGTTAGTTAGTCAAGCAATTGTAAGATAACAGGTATAAGAATAAACATAGTTATGAATACATGAAACGGATACATATAAGAAAAATAAAAAGAAACAAAAGGACAGGGAAGGTGGATTGGTGCACTTATGCACGCCACCCTCTTAGGAAGGGGGTGAGGTCAATAGTACACAGTCTAAGATTAAAGTTTTTGGGGTTTGGGGAAGAAACCACAGAGTCAGGTAGAGCAGGGGTCCCCAACCACCGGTCCGCGGACCGGTACCGGTCCATGGAACAAGTCCTACCGAGCCGCTGGCTTGCTGGGTGCCGCCATCTTTTTTTGATGAAAAAGTGCTTCCGGTGAGCTTTTCCGGGTAGAAAGCTCACCAGAAGCACGTTTTCATCAAAAAAAGATGGCGGCGCCAGCGCTTCCGGTGAGCTTTTCCGGGTAGAAAGCTCACCGGAAGCACGTTTTCATCAAAAAAAGATGGCGGCGCCCAGCTGATGCCGGTATCGGGCCGCGGCGCCCAGCTGATGCCGGTACCGGGCCGCGGCGTAAAAAAGGTTGGGGATCACTGAGGTAGAGTATTCCAGACATTGACCACTCTGTTATTGAAGTATTTCCTGCAATCAAGTTTGGTGCCATTAACCTTGAGTTTGTATCTATTGTTTGCTCTTGTATTGTTATGGTTGAAGCTGAAGTATTCATTGACAGGTAGGACATTGCAATGTATGATTTTATATACTATACTTAGATCGGACCGAAGGTGGTGTAGTTCTAGGTTTTCTAGGTCTAGAATTTCAAGTCTGGTGGCATAAGGCAGGGGTCCCCAACCACCGGGCCCTGGACCAGTACCGGTCCGTGGATCATTTTGTCCCGGGCCGCCTACTTTGCTTGGGTGCCGCCATCTTGTTTCGACAGCGCTTGAGAAAGTGCTTCCGGGTGAGCTTGTCGGTCATCGGTTGAAAAGCGGCGTTTGGGTGCTGAAGGAATCCTCGCGCCTTAGTTTCGTCGAAGAGGGGGGGGCGGCTTTGAACGAAGAGCCGTCCCGATGGCGGTGGAGTCTCGCATTACTCAGGAGGAGATTAAGAAAGAGCCCGAAAAGCCCATCGACCGCGAGAAGGTACAAAGGAGGAGTTGAAGGTGGCGGGGAGAAGTGGGGGACGGATGGCTGGCCCGTCGCTCGGCTCGCCTTGCCTTGGTCGTGCGTGCTGATGCCGGTACTGGTCCGTGGATCATTTTGTGATGCCGGTATCGGGCCATGGTACAAAAAAGGCATAAGGTATTCTGCAACATATGTATTCTGCATATGGCATACTTATTCCCAAGGAAGTTTAACAATGGAACATACTGTCCAATGTACAAAGACGGAAATATTACTCCTGGAAGAATCAAGCCGCGCAAAATATATTCATAAAACTAAATGCACACACACACATCAGTAATCTTTCTTGAACTTTTACAAAAAGAAAAGATTTATTTGTGAGTTTTTAATGTAACCTTCCCAAAAGCCCAGGATGTTGAGCAGGCTGTCTAATTCATTCTCTCAATGAATCTGTGAGGTAGGATATATCCCAAAGTGTGATAATGGAGTAGTTATTTTTGTATCAGGCTGAGGTTCCCATGACTCTATTTGCATTCGTTAATATAAGAAATTAACAAGCAGAAGACCAAAAAAAGGTTAATGGAAGACTATATTGATCTACTGGGGAAATATTTTTTTATACTGGAATTGTAACAGTTGTAGAACAATCTGTTGGTTTTGGCTTGGATTCTAAGTTTTGAACCCACCAGAATACATAAATCTAAAACAGATGATCCATCCAATGTCAACTGATTTTCTCATGCCTCAATACACAACCCCATACCAATGGTTTTGGGGATGATTCAATTCTGAGAAATTTTGTTACATCTAGCCTCTGCTACACCCCTCCACATTATTGGATTTACCATTCAATTTGATCTAGTGTATTAAATATAGAAAGTCTTCTGATTTTTGTAAGAATTTAATATTCCAATTTTGAGGCAGCCCAACTTTGAAACAACTCGGTGGCTTACAATACAGTACAGTTAAAAATAATAGATACTCCACTGAATTAAGCTTTCCCAATTAAAATCCACTCCAATTTATTATAAGTTTTTTTCATGTGCATGTGTATGTGTGAGTCATTTTGTTCATATTATTGTTAAGAAATTGGATTTCAGAAAACAGTTCTGAACTGCAAGAACACCAAGATCTCTATCCACTAATTCAGATCTATTTTCTGTTCATCCCTGATTTACAAGAACAACACATAGATACAATAACCAATAACAAGAGGTGTAAAAGCAACATATGAGGTTTGCCATAATGAACTACACTCTTTATTTAAAGAGAAATTTATTGTTTCCTATAATGTCTACCTTGGAAATAAGGCAGACCTAGTTTAGTGACTTTTACCATATCTAAATTCACATTAACCCATCATAAGCCACCTTATATTTCTTTATTTTTTTACATGAAGTGTTCTATAATCGAGATACTGTGATTTATAATCCATGGTTTCTGGTTCAACATATGGAGTCCATTCATACTGTTTATTAAATCATGGAAAAATAAACCATCATAGCACAATGTATATACCAAGCCAAAATCTCTCATTATAATCTATCACAAAGGTTTATTGTGAAGGCAAAATGGAACCAAGAGAACCATGTATTTGGCCATGACCAAATTAAAGCTAAATAGAAGATGTAAATACATAATTGAAATGTAACTTTAAACTGTTCTCATATGGAAATAGCCATTTAAGAAATTTTGCCATATGGCATATAGTTAATATAAAAACATTATACATCTAAGTCATTCTCTTTTTTTTTAATGACACAATTTCATGCTCGACTTTAAATCCTTGTAAGGATCCTTTCTGTAGTCTTCTTTTTCTATTATTTATTATTGATCTTTAATATAATTAACTTTATGAGAATTTAAACAATATATTAAGTATACACCTGGGAGCTTTCTTGCACTGGATATATTCTTAAAAATGTATATAGTAAAAACTTATATAAATCTATTTTTATCCTTTTCCCCACATTCCCCTTTCCTATATGGAACATAAGAATAGCTGGAATAATTGCTACATTGTGATTTCGGATCTTAAAGAGGAAAGTTCCAATAGCAGTCAAAACAAAAGTTTCAGCATGACTTTGGCATGTGAAGCCATTCACTGATTGAAGAGAAAGATAACTCCAGAGTTAGTCACCCAGACCTGGATTTTCCCAGAACTTCAAAGACTCAGCCAGAAACGGTATATAAAAGGGCAATATGCTAACACAATCAAGGCTAATCAAACTTATCTGGTTACAGGATAGCAATCAAAATTAGTGCTATTAGTATAGCACTTGACAGGTATTCACAAATGTCATAAAAGTTTTTTCAGAATAAATTTAGGACAACAATAGATAAAGTATTTCAAGACACTTCAAGAATCTCCTTATGGAGAAAGCAAAGGGTGTGTATATTCAGAAAGCAGAATATAAATTCAAATCTGTTTTGATTTAAAAGAAACAAATGAAGGCTAGTTTATTGAGGTTCATATAGAGAGTATGTAATATTTTATTATTTTTGTTGCAGAACCCATTTTCTGACTTTACAATGCTGTTTAATAGGTAAAAATTATATTGGCATCGTTGAGAAATATGGTTAATAAATGAGGTTCATTGGGAGACAGACTTTAAAAAAGTATAAGCTTCCATGTCCTCCATGGAAGAATTTATCTACTATTATGCTTGCAGTATTGCCAAGGTATCTACCATAATGCTGTTGTGCATGAAAATGGCAATTTTCTGTATTGGGTCCTCTTACATTTGACTAAAATAAAGAAATAGTTTTTAAGGAATAACAATGACTGTTGAAGAATACAGTGTACATCTCCAGCACAATGAATCTGAAGTTAGGTTATACAGCAGCCTTCGTTGAGATGTGCTGGAACTAAATTCTTACAGTTTGGAAAGAGAAAGGCTTTCTGGTTGAGAAAGGCTGATATCAGCAGACTTTTGACTTTTATGTTTTGCTTGTGAGAGTCACAGGAGCAATTGGATGAATCTTATTTGAAACTTGGTCTGATATACCACATTTTAGTAAATGCTCATCGTTTTCATACTTTCTACATACATTACGCTGGGACCACTGGATCAGCCTCTCAGCTCCAATCCACTAAATTATTGCTATAATATACCAAAACTCTTTGCTATGCAATGAAATTTCTAACCCAGGGGTGTCAAACTCAATTTCATTGAGGGCCACGTCAGGGTTGTGTTTGACCTTGGGGACCGGGTGCATGTGGCAGGGGTGGGCATGGCCAGCTCGATGTCACTCGTGTCGAGGGCACCCCTCCCAGGCTCTGTTTTCGGCTGCTGTGGCCTCCTCCAGGGCTTTGTGAAAATGGAGCTTCTTTTAGCTGGCAGAGTGCTGCAGGAGGCCATAGCAGCCGAAAACGGAGCTCTGTTTTCACTGGCAGAGGCACTGTGGGCCAGTCCTTTACTGTTTTCAGGGTGACCCCACAGGCCAGATCTAAGTATGCC